TCCAAATATTTGTACAAGTAAATCAAATGGATTTGTTATTACAGTTGTATTATTAAATATATTATGTCTTTTAAAATCTTCAAATGTCCACAATAGTCTCTTTTTAAAATTAATTAAATAGTAAAATTATAAAAATTATTAAAATAAATATTAAAAATTATAAAAATAAATTACCCTTAACAATTGTGTCATTTCTTTTGATGTATCAACACAATAATGTGTATCACCATATTTTTCTTTAATAATTAAAATACTTTCTATTAAGGTTAATATAATATTACTTTCAAACATTATTTTACAAATATTAACATGTTCAATTGCATTTTCTAAAATTAAATTCATAATTGAACATGCTCCAAATATTAAATTTAAAAAATTCTTTGAATAATTAATTTCTTCTTTTGAATTATTTAAATAATTTGAATTTTTAAAAAATTGTTTTAAAATAGTTTTAAATCTTCTCTTTCCTAAAACAATTACAATCATTGATAATCCTTGTATTGATCTATGTATTAACATTTCTGAAAATATTTCATTTTCATCTGGATATTGCATTGCTATTTTAACCATTTCAACACTTTCTCTTACAACTCTAATATCTTCATCTGACAAATTCATAAATATTATATCTAATACTCTTGTTTCTCTTATTTGTTCAATTTTAATAGATTTGGATATTTCTTTTATCATTGAATATATTAATAATATTGATTGTGTTGATAATTCAATTGAATTTGCATTGTCATTTGTATTTGTATTATTTGTATTATTTGTATTTGTATTATTATTATTGTTCATATTGTTCATATTGTTCATATTATTTGTATTTGAAGGATCAAATGATTTTCTAAATTCTTCAGCTGATGCTAATTGATTTCTAGCAGTTTCAACAACATTAAGGAATGTAAATTTTGTGAATGGAAGTGATTGTTGTTTTGGAGTGGCTTCATTTTTAGGTGTTGTTAAACCTGGTTGAAATGAAATTGAAGAGGAGGGTGATTGAATTACATTTTTAGAAGTTGCAGCAGTTGAAGTAGTAGTGGTATTAGTAATGTGTGCAACATTTGGTGTTCTTGGAGACATTAAAAAATTACCAAATACTCTAGGTGAATTAAATATTGAACGTGGTGATGCAAAGGCATTCATTTCTTGTTGTTGAGTTTGTTGTTGCTGTTGTGAATTT